ATGCTTGGATCCCTGTCCAAGAGTTTTGTTTCTAGCAGTCACGGTGCCCACAAATACCATTGTATTCAACTCTGATATTTGAAGATTTGAGAGACTTTTCCCACATGTAATTGGCAATGACAAATTGCTGTGAGCTTTTGTGGCCCCGCAGGCTCTCTGTGGTGAGTACTGCTGCTTTTTCTGGGATTAGAGTTCCATATCAAGTGATCCACTAAAATATTTCTAAAGATATTCTGAGCGTCAGACTCTAAAATGATGTCTTCAGAGATATGTACTGCTCTGGTAGGCTGGCCACCTCTGAGGGATGGCTGTAGTTCTCCTTGTCCGGTGACTCCAGCTAGGACTCCTGGTTAATACAACGCCCTGTGCAGGCAGGGAGCGCACAGCAGGCTGTCTCCCCCCTCCTCTGGCGGAGAGCTAGGAGGCAGCTCTCCTTACCCTGGGCTTTGTATCCCCTCGACCTTTTGCAGCCTGCGGCAATACCTTGGGGCAGAGTTTTCCTATCACAGTCGTGCAGCTGTTTCTGGGTTAAGCTGCTTGCTTTTCTTTTGAATATTTTTATTTAAATTAAGCTATCACATCCCTCAGGAGCATGGAAATGTAAAGGATTTAAAGGGATACTGGCTCTGTTTCTCTGTTTCCTTGCATTAGCTACTTCACAGGGAAAATATGTGAAAGAAAAGGACTCCAAGGTAAGATGCAGTTCTTGGAGAAGTAATGGAGCTTTCCAGCAGGATGTGGTGTATGGTCTTGCTTAATGGTGCAGTGTCAGTAGGGCTGCTAGGATGTCCTGATCTAAGTCTTACATTGTTTGCCTGGCTCCCTGCCCTGTACTTTATGTTGCCTCAGCTCCATGAATGGTAGGTTCTGGAGCCCCAGAGGATTTCTGGTAATCTCAAAGGATTTTCACATGAGCTTTATTGGCATCTTCCGTTTGGATTGGAGTGTGGGCATCTTCCGTTTGGATTGGAGTGTGGAAATTCATAAAATAGCTTGGGGAGATTTTGCTGTAGCTGGGGAGCCAAAGATTCAGCCTTGGAACCTGTCTCTGCTTGATTTCCAGGTTCATTCTGATAGCGTGTGATGGCCTCTTTAAAGTCTTTACACCAGAAGAAGCTGTGAACTTCATTATGTCCTGCCTGGAGGTGAGGAGAAGGCAGCGAGGGGGCTGGGTTTGTCAGCGCAGGGGGCACAAAATGGAATGACTGACTGGCAGGGCATCCTCCCTTATACCTGAGATGTCCTTATTTGTTTTGCTTCCCCATGCTTGGAAATTACCATGTGCATACACCTACACACTTTGCTGGGAGCAATCAGCGTCGTCTTTCCTCATCCCAACAGGATAAGAACATCCAGATGAGAGAAGGGAAGCTAGAAGCAGACGCTAGATATGAAGCTGCGTGTAACAGACTGGCCAACAAGGCAGTACAGCGAGGGTCGGCGGACAACGTCACAGTCATGGTGGTCCGGATAGAGCACTGAGAGATGAGGTGCAGCAGCAGGATCTCCAGCTTGTGATAGATGTAAGGGAGGGGAGAAGTTGGTGTGCGTGCAGGTGTGGCTGGGGGAGGGAGGATCCTGCTGGGTGCTCTTACAGTGTAAATAAAGTTTGGTTGTTTTTTTTTTTTTCTAATAGTTTTTTAGCTCACTTGGCTAGCAGTGTTCACTAAGTGACTGCCACAGTGGATCAGCCTATGTGGAAATCCCTTGTCCTGTCAACCCCCATGAATGTCTTGGCAAACCAAATAAATCTGTTTGGCAGAGGTGCTAGCAAGAGCAGGCATCTGTGGGCATGAACTCTGCCAGCTCTTCCAAATGGCGCGGTTCTGCTGTTCGTTTCTTTGAGCTTTGTGTAAGGCCCTGGGAGAGTCCTGAGCTCTTGGGGCTTGGAGCGGGAGCTCCTGGTCGGGCCGTACCGTACAGACTGTGCAGTACCCCACGCCAGCAGCTTGGGATGCAGCATGTGCTGTCTTGGTGCTGGGAAGGAAATCTGGTTCTGAAGCTGGGTTTTGAGGTTGCATGCAGCTGCGTGATCCAGACACCGTTTGCAGAGCAGCAGTGTACCTTCCCTCTGTTTGCGGAAGGCATTGGGGTTTTGTCCCAGTTGTTGATATGGCAAAAGTGCCTGAAGTTTGCTCTTGATGTTTATTGGGAAAGTGTTTTCATCAAATGGCCAGGCAGCTGAGGTAAGGGCAGGCTCTGTGCTCCTCTGTGTGCTATCTGAGGAGCAGGCATCTCAGGTTTTAGGTACTTGCTGCTATTAAGTGTCTGGTGTCTCATCCCGTCCCCATTTCTCTACCAGCTGCAGGGGGTTGGTATGATGTTATCCAGAGAAAATTTGGCTTGTGACCAAATGACAATGTGAAAGCTAAATGGATTGGGCTACGAAAGCACTTAAATTCCAGATGATGCAACTGTCATGTCCTGTGGGTGAGATGGTGGGGAGGGAGATGAGCCAGTGGGTCTGTGCAGTGGTTTCTCGCGCAACCTGCTTGGGCTGCATGAGAAACGGTGCAGTCCCAGAGAGAGCTTGGGCAGGTTGGCACGGTGGTGCCTGCTGTTTTCCGAATAGTTCTGCACAGGGTTGAGAGGCTTCCTGGGCTCTTTTCTGCTCCCTGTGTTCCCTGGAGCTCTGGGAGATGATCGCGGATCCTGGGCTAGGTGTTTTCTTGAGCACGCAAAAGCTATCCTCTTGTTGGGGGCAGGTGGCTTGACCGTCTCTAGTTTATTTCTGCTACAGCAGAAATAAGTTAAAGTTCATGGGCTTATGCTAACAGTTAGGCTCACTTGGCCTAGCTCGTGCTAACTCTCCATCTCCTGCGGAAAACCGAGGAAGGATGTGGACCTCTGGCATGTATTTTGGGTAGTGCTTGCTTCTGCCAGCTTGTTCTGGTCCCAGCCATTCCTGTGTACTCTGATGTAAGGTTGTGCGGCAGGTTGAACTGAGAGGGAATCACCTGTGTTAGTTCTGCTGCTTCTGCTCTTGAAAGGCAAATTTGGAGAGCCAAATTTGGAGAACCCTGTCTGGGTAGCATGGAGTTTATTCAGCTTGTGGCAAAAGAAACCCTGACAACAGATCTCAGGAGGGCAGTTCTCCTTCCCTTCTCACCTCCCTGCTTTTCACAGCTCTTGCGCCGGGGAGAGCTGTGTGCTGTGCTGTGAGAGCCGAGCCAAGCACCTGTCTCCCTGGTGCACCCTCCAGGAGGCCTCTCTTAATTTTCTAGCACAGGAGCTGGGGAGAGAAGTTTCAGCTTGTCCTTCTCGGACTGTCTTCTCTCCCCCTCCCTTCTCTTACAACTCTTTCCTTCCCTTTAAAGAGAGTACTGAAGCCACAGCTCCCACTAGGAACATAATACATGTGTTACAATACAGTTAATGATTTCCATAAACTGGATTTTGTCATCCATTTTGCAGGGCAAAGGGAACACTCTAGAGCAGGTTCCACTGTGCTTGTGAGTAGCTAGCTGGTTCCAAGGGCAGGTTCAACCCTAGCTTTAGTGGAAGTCAAAAAACTGCTTGTGTTTCCTGGTAGGGTGGGATCTGCAAGAGGGTTCCTGAAAATAAGCTCTCCCTGGCTAATTGCTCAGCAGCATCCTGCTACTGTGAGGTGCTTGAGACCGCCACCCCAGGGCTGCCCATGCAGAGTTGCTGTACATGCAGCTCCCCTCCCTTGGGGCTGACTGAGCTTCTTGCCCCCTCCCAACACCTGAATTGGCCCCCTAGTAGCTTTGACTTCATCAGCTGTTCCCATTTTGCGTTCAAGTGCACTGTGCTCTTTGTATGTCGCTCCCAGGGGCCAGTTTACCTGCTCAGCAAACCCTGCTCTCCAACAGCGAGTCCTCTTGTGCCCTCCCGTGTGTGTTTGGTAGGAGGGGAAGGTGGCTGATCTGAGGCAGACTGCCTGGGCTCACGGTCCTGGGGTAACCAGGAGGTACTGCCAGGGCTGAGCTCCTCAGCTGGGCAGGAGCTGCAGGGGCCTGGTCTCTGCCAGAGCCCTGCCCCAGATCCAAACACCCCCACCCACAAAGAGCTCCAGCGATGGCTACTTCACTGCTCCTTGAGGAGAGGCGACCTGCAGAGAAGACCAGACAGGGACAGCAAAGCCCTCCTGAGCAAGGTCCAGCGTGAGGAGACTTCCCCTCGCCTACATGCGAGGGAAGGTGGGGTTGAGTGCAGTTCTGGCTATCTCGCAGCGTTGCTGGCACAGCTTGCCCAGCGCTATGTGCTACTGAGATATAAAATGTGTGGCTCCCTTGCCCCACGCCCAGCCTGCCTGGGTACCTCTCATGCAGCCCTCGCTCAAGCACGTAGCCCTGCACCCATCCTCGGCTCAGATGGCTGTCAGAGCCGAAGCAAGGAGCGTATCTGTGCTGCCCACAGCCTGGGCCTGTGCCGCGGGCAGGGAACACCTGGTCTGGAAAGTCATGGGATGGGAATTTGATTTAATTGAATGTGCAGCATTATCGGGGAGGCTGCTTTGAAGATTATCTGTGAAAGACGTTGGCTTCTGCCAGCAAACCTTCACTGCTAATACCTTGGAGGGGAGCTAAAGTGATAGAAATCTGTTTTGGGCTGCTGAGAAGCTGGGCAGGGAAATCTGCTGAGAGTGAAAACTGAAGCGTGGGGCTTCATCCCAGGCACCATGGGAGCTGAGCCCTGCAGAGAAAGCAGCTGGCGGCTGCTGTTGTCAGCAGGGTTTTCAAAATAAACTTCCAGCCCTGGCTTTTAGATAAAAGTGAACTCCTCTAGCTCCTTATCAGGCTGCTTTATTATTATTATTAATTATTTATTATCATCCTCCTTTCCTCCCTGATCTTTTGTCCAGCTTCAGATGGTTCTGCAGCACAAGCTGGTATCAGACCAGCCTGCAGCTTCTGCAGCAGCGAAAGGTCTTCCCTGGGCTTGGTGCTGAGCAGGGAGGTGGGACAGTGGCTGGCAGAGGGAAGGGTTCGGCCGTTCCTTGCAGAGGTTTGCTTCCCTGCGTGGTGCCTAGCGCCTTTTCACGCCCCCAGCAGAATGGCGCTGAAACCAGAGCTGCTTTGAACAGTGAGGGGGGAGCCTGCAGTGTTGTCCACAAAACCAGAGGCGTACTGACCAGCCTGGAGGGAGAGAGGGCTTAATGGGGCTGGGATACCTCCTCTGGGCACAGCCTGGCAGAGGAAAGGAGAGAGCTCTCCCCTGTGTGCAGCAGGTGAGAGATGGAGGGGCCGGTCACCCTCTTCCTTCTGGGAAAAGGATGATACAGAGGCCAGTAGGGCAGCCCAGCCATGGTATGTGCTGTAGTGTCCTGGCAGACCTCAACCCCGAGTGTCCTTTGCGTTCAGAGCTGGGCTCAGACTTGATGCCCAGCTCTGGAGCTGGGGCCATAGAAGGCATCTTTCTGCCCGCACAGTCCCAAGCAAAGCTGGCACCACTAACCTGCAGGTAAAGGATTGCAGTGATGGAGACGGTGAAAAGGTCCTGCCACTCTCCAGCCGAGACACGGTCTCCAAATGGCTGGAGAAGTGGGAGGGTGGTACTGGGGAGAGCATCTCCCTCCCTTCCCCTAGGGATGCCGGGATCCTTCCTCCGTCTCCCCTCCCGCCTTTGCTCTGCCATAACTGTTGTGCTGGCAGCGGGGCTGCATACAGATCAGCACCTGCAGATTATTCCCCCTGCACAGCTGCCCCTTCCTCTGCTGGTCTCTTTGCACTGGGACAGATGGGAGGGTGAGAGCCATCCTGGACCACCCTGGTGGGGCCGTGGGGGTGCCTGAGGGCTCACTGATGTGCAGTGCGGCGGTGAAGGTGTAGTACCCTGTGATGGGGGCCGTGTACTGCGCGCTGGTCAGGTTCAGCCCCAAGCCATGGTGGAACATCCCCGCCCTCACTGGCTAGGGATGGGTGAAGGCTTGGGTTAGAGAAGGAGCCCTTGTGCCAGGGAGGTGCCCCCATGGGCAGGACGAGGGAGCACTCATGATGTAGTAGAGCTGCAGCTCCTGCTGTGCTCTCTGCTTGACAGATGTTTTCATATGTCCGGCAGTGGAAGGCTGCTTCCATGCGACAATGGGACCTGGCCTGTGGGTCACCTTCACTGCTTTCCTCCTCTTCACGCCCTTCCCAGGCCTTCCTCCGTGTCTTTGCTTGCTCCTTCACCATGCCTGATCCCAAAACCTGAGCATGGCTTGGCTTTAGGGAGGAACCTCAGCTTCTCCTGGGCCCAAGATGAGACAGTGCCAGGCTCTGCCACCCAGCCCCACGGTGCCTTGTCCCGCTGGACACTGCTTCTGCCCTGAGGTGTGTTGTCGTCGTCCACACACACACCCACACACACCCCGGCAGCACT